AGGCGCACGTCGCAGGTGTGCTYAGCTCCCTGAATTCTAGAACTAGCACCACGAACCACACATATCTCGATGTCGTTGTCTCGAACACTATTATCGTTCCTAAAACGAAATATTTCCGCCTATATATATATATGTCAGTAAATATTAATAATACGCGTCATTGTTATTTTAACGGCGAACAATCTCTAGCTGTCTAGCTACTTCGGAATGCACCTAMCTTTTGGAAAATGCAATCCTCACACTTATTACAAGTGACTTATATAGTTATATTATASAATTACTATAAAAACTATTGCTTTATCCTTGTTGTCATCCTTAATTCCTCTTAAAGAATTTAAATGTAGGTCGGGTACTAATTTTTTGTAATTTTAACATTAATTAATTATTATGCTTTTCAGATAAATAAACGAGAGATGGTGTCCGTAGAATCCAAAGTAAACATATAAATGCCAAGCGTCCGTCCGCCAATGCGGTGCAACTGCCACGACAAAGTGCATGCAATTTCACTGCCACCAGTTTCACACTGTAACTGCACTRGCTTTGATGGGACGTTRAAATCCGTTGTCAATACCAAATTATTCGTAAAATGTTTAGTTCTAATACCCTGCAGCAAGGTTAACCAATGAATGTGACATGATGTACAGTATTCATTATCAGTTGGAATCTTWTTGGAATTTTTTTCTAAAAAAAATGTACTGTAAAGTCTCATGCCCGTCGTTACAAATAATGGCTTGGAATTGTACGYAATTGTCCTCCTCCAGCACTCAATGCTGATGGGTGGCAATACGGTTGACCAGTTTCCATTATGCACCCATTATGGTATTATGTAATGTAATAATAAGAACCAGCGATACACACAAGAAAATATCGACTTCACGACAACAGCGTACTCGAAATCTTGTTGACAAACACTGCGGCCAGACGTGCACCCTGTATACCATAATATAGTAATGTTTGGTACCATACGGGTAAACGGAGTTCAACAACTGCCACAGGTTCTCGCAGACAGGGCACTGTGTCCGTGTGAATGCCTTCATTTACCCGATGTACCTAACTATGTGTGTGTGTGTGTGTGTGTGTGGGGGGGATTATTATAACAATACGACGCATTTTGAATTGTGTTGCAGTTGCCCTTTTTTTCGTTCTCTTTCGAAAACACCATACAACGATAGGGACGTACGCGACCTCGTCGGTGGTGTGTGTACGTGGTGTTATGAAATATACCTATAAATTATCGTTACACCCCTAGCGCGTTCCACGAAATCGAAGTGATGGGTAAGGACTATAATAAATGTCCTGTGATTTCTATATTATATTATGTATATGCGGCGTGTATAGTTGTTGTTGTTGTTGTGACTAGTTGTTAAGGAATTTACCAGCCGAAGACGGTCTCTGCTTTGAAAAAAAAACAAAAATGAAAAGGTATCGGTCGACGAACAAAACACCTACGGAAAAAAATCATTTCATTTCTAAGACGATCKGGTCAAATCGGATGTCGAGGACGCGCCCCGGGCACCGTYGTTTCCTTTGTGACTGCTCATTTCACGACTATTCCTCGCAGCGGGGAAAAGTCCCAAACCCGTAAATCTCTTTTTCGGTACACCCTTAATCGTTGGAGTAGCAGAACTTTAAGATATTTGAGTCCGTGCAACCATCAATGCCGATTTACGATTACGCGGTTTTCGGGCCCAGCGCCCACACCTGCGGGGCCACACCTGCGGGGCCACAAACAGATTTCGATACTGTCAATATTAGATAAGAGGTCGCAAGCTTTAATCACACCTCTAATAGGTGCAAAATCATTTTAATATCATTTTAGTTTTCCGATTTCAAYACATTGAAACTAAGGAATGGACACCCWCACACATCTTTACTATACGAATCTTTTAACATAATGTCTTTAAGATTTATCGACGCGTTCAGAGTGGTAAGTCGTGATGCTGTACTTAGAACAGTACTCCCGTAGATTCGTACAACCTTTTGGTTTAATTTYATTATTGTACATAATTTTGATGAAGGTATATTATTATTGGGAAACGATTCGTACTTGAGTTTCATTCTCGTCGAAAATGTATTCCAATATTCTGATTTACATAACAGTAAAAAAATAAGATGTCTTTACATTAAGTTCGTATCTATAAACAGCATTTACAATAAATTATCATTAACATACCACTATATTTCAATGACACAAAACAATTATTATTATTAGTTTTTAATTTGCATCACGGATTAATAATAAAATATAGGTAAGGTTAAAAAAAAATTTGATACAATTGTATTGTAGTTGTATACAATTTTTTTTTTTTTTATATCTTTATTATATATATTTTTGGTTTTTAGTAAGCACATTTTTTGTTATCGTTTTACTATTCTATTTTTTTCGTTTAATAATCTCCGACATTATATTATGTTATACTCCGAAGACACCCGAAATGCGGTTAGACAACCGAGACGCCGGTCGATATATTTCGGATTTTGACTAACAAATAATAATATGATATTATAATGACAACGCGCGCGTCGAATCGAATTATTCACCGCCTACACCTCCTATCGACGGTACCAACAAAATATATTATGGGATTTAACCAGAAATCGTCGGAAAAGGTTTAACSGATCATAATATACCTATTATTTATGCGTAGTAAGTATACTAACAAGTAAGAAGTAGTTCACCGYCGTATACCTATATTTATATTATACATATTTACCGGCGGCTATTCAATTGTTCTACTGTGTGTCTGTGTCTATATTATTATAAACGTACCTTGCTGACAGCCGGTTAATATTGATGTAGAGTATAAAAATATAAAATTTAAAAGACTTTAAAGAACAAAAATATTGTTACACAACTTTAACAAATTAACTTTTGATCACGATTTTTCCCAAGTGTAAAAGAGTATATCATACATCAACCTAATCAATTCAAATATTTCATTTTTGGAGTAATTTTCCATTTAATTCAGAAACTGACAATGTAGTTTCCTGCTATAACTTATAATTTTATAAGTGCGTAATTAAGAAAATATGTTGATGGAAAATAAATCCTCGATAAAAGTGGTTCTACAGTGGCATAGTTAAACAAGTAAATACTATTCGGTACTTATTCGAAATTACATAAAGAGAAACTCAACTAATATAATGATAGGTATTTATATGAATTGTTATAGTATAGGCATACAATATTTATCGATACCTTATCCTCGTGGTTAAAATAACTAAAACGATTCTCAACATATAATTATATACGACATGATATATTGATATCATTCAATCAAACGGTCAAACTACAAGTATTTACAAAATATATTATATGTTCATATTTGGTTATATTTGGTAATATAAATGTCAACATTAACAACAGCTCATTAGTCGTTTATTGATACTAATCTCATATGCTGAATACATCACATATTCTCAAAATTCAGCTTAGAAATCGAAGAGACGAGATTTTTATTTYTATGAGACTACATCAAAAATGCTGTTCATATTTAATTTTTGGATTTAATATTTTACATATAAGTTGTACTAATCATTTTGTTTTTTAATTTCCTAACTTTATTACATCTATGTTAAAAACAATTTGTTTTACTGAATAATATTATCAAGATACCTACGTAGATTTATGTCGTGTGTAGAATTTCAATTAACAAACAATAATAATAATGACATTTTTTAATATTGRATCATTAACCTTAATTAATTTTAATTTCCATACWAAATCTAAATTTGAAATCTATATACGATATGTTATTGTATATTAATCAAACATTTTAATATGTGCAGTTATATTATTATTGCTTTATCGAAAATTTAGATATTCGGTATGTCAACTTTTACACAACTATATACGAATATAATATATGACGTATATTATACACTGATCCGAAAAAAAAACGAGGAAGGTAATTCTTAATCGACTTAGAATTGGCCACCCACAACTCACAGATGGACACCTTATGGCAAAGACAGACCCATCCCTATGCCAAACATGTAATAYAAACTCCTCCGTCATATCATCGTTCACTGCCTAAACTTGAACGAAGTTAGGAAAGACTTCAACATCCCTGACAAGTGRCAATCTGTACGAAGCAATTGGTCCATTTTAAAATTATCAAAACATAATTTTATATCTGAAAAAAATTAAACCGTACAATGACATATAATAATGTAAAAATGTAATAGGTACTCTTGTTAAAGCTAATAATATTTTAAGTATTGTGGTTAAATGTTTTAACGTGATTCATCAATAAACGATGGCAGCAGAGGAGTAGTGTTGTGCAAACAGATCCTCCTCTGCTGTCGGTTCTAACCAGGAAAAAAAATGCTAAAGCTAAATCGGTACTTACTTGATGTTTAACCAATGAAGAAAAAATATATCTATATAACAATCTGCTACTTATGTAAATGAGGATATCGATATTCGTATGATATCCTAAACGCTTTTTAACGGATCGGAGTATAATGTTTATGCAACAATAACCCGCCACGCAGTGTCAAAGTGTCACGTTATTATTTTATTTTATTTTTAAGCCAGAAACGCATAATTTCAATGCAYATCAGCGATTTCCCGTTGTTGGAATAGTCCCCAGAGTGAACAAACGAGATACTATATTGGGTATTTTTTAACACTCGCGACCGCTGTAATGTGGTATATACGGTTTTCCCAGCCCACATCGCCCCATCCGACAAGTGAGAGTTTGTCGGTATGTAAGTATGTTTATAGCTCGGATAGCCGAACTCGAAAAAAWGCACCGAAACGGATATAGTTTAAGCCCCGTACGCCGTACGGCACGATTTATATTTAAAGTTTTCGCGATCATTCACGATCCCGTGATGGAGTTCAGCGCAGGAGATCATTTCATTACATATTGTACAGTTGCGCAGTAACTGTATATGAATTATTATAATATATTATTACGTTATAATGTTATATTATAGCGACAAAATATGTAGAAAAAATAACACTCGTGGAATTTTTTCGTGTACGTAACCTACTACCTATCTATATAAATATTTTCAAGTACAAAAATTAAATCACCAATTATAGGACTAGCATCGCAACTGTGTTCTAAAAAAGTATTCATCCTATGTGCTTGACATGGAATGTATGCTRCTGAATGACCTAAAAATTCAGTTAAGAAACGCTGAGCACCTTTTTTGATCCCACTCATATTGCTCGCATAATCATACGATCGAAAAGCTGAATTATCAGTATTAATTTCATACTTAACGAGACAGTCATAAATTGATTTTGCTGTTCCAYATCCAGTTTTATTCGTAGATTTGACTACATCCAGTAAACGTGAATTTGTTATTCCATTTTGATCAACATATCTTAAACATACAGCTAATTGATCTTTTAATGATATGTCTGGTGTAGTATCAGCCATAACTGTAAACAATTGTGACTTACAAATTTCTTGTACGACAATTTTACGATTTTTAGCAGCAAGTAGTTCAATAAATTCATTTTGTGACTTTGATCCAAGATATGTTACATGATAAGGACGCATTGATTTATCATTTAACCATCTTTCCATTATAGGATTATGTCGGGAAAGTAATAAAACTATTTGATAGAAATTTCCATTTTGAGTCTCATTTTCTTTTTCATTATGGTTGCGAAAAGCTAAACCTTATTGTCTTGTTAGTGTACGAACTACATCAACTAACATTCTTACTGCTTGTCTATTAAAYTCTTGTTCACTTTTTTGACGTATTGCTAATTGTCGAGCAGATTTATTGAACATAAAATCAATACGACTTGACTGACTAATAAATGCATAATAATCCAACATAGCCAATAATATGAGACGCAGATGAAAAATGTTGTACCAATTTACCCTTTTTATTGTTTCCTCGAATTTTCATTTTGTGCCATTGTTTTACACCACCAGTTACCCAAACATCAATATCATTTTTTTTTTGGAAATAATGAACATACAAAACAAAACATAGAATCAGTAACTATACTATACTCGAGCATAGGAAATTCATTAAACCATTTGGAAGTAAAGTGATGTTGCTTATTTGTTGAAATGTTAATGTCTCGAGGATATTTGGTTGACGCGGACCTAATTAAAATACAAATTATCTTTGTAATGTTATTTTAATAGGTATTCGGTTACCTGTATCATGCTCWACAAATCCATCAGCAGTACTTATTTCAGTATTTTCAGAATAGTTGATTGTAGTCAATTTGTTTAATGTTATGTGGCATTTCAGTGGCATTACTTATATAATTGGTTATCTCATTATTAATTCTAGTTATACATTGTATACTATTGATTAAAAAGATAACTGGGGTTTGGACACTTAGAATTTTTTATATTATTTAACGTTTCTGAACATTGTTTAATGTTCTAAATGGCCAGCACAAGAAATCCATGTATATTCAGGATCATCATTAACCATTGGGATTTTATCAGTAAGATGTTGATCGCACAAATCGACATTGGTTTCCTCATTGGTTT